GGGATGGGGAATACATGTAAATCCATGGCTAATTCATTTCAATGTATAACAAAAACTACTGTAATGATGTAAAGTAATTAGCCTCCAACTAATAAAAATAAATGGAAAAAAAAAAAGAAAAAAAAAAGATTCGATAATAAAAAAAAATAAAGTATGAATAAAGGGATAACTAGAATCTAGAAAAGTGTATTGAGGCTGGTTGGCAGGCATCTCCACACTGTGTGCCTTCTGCTTAGGCAGTTTCAGATTGATATTGTTCACTTCACAACCAGATCTTCCACATCAGAACGGTACAACCAGAACGGAGGGAACTTGATGTACAAAGCAAAAGGATAGGGAGAATTCTCTTTAGTCATAATTCAGAGAACACCATCCCTGAGAAGAAAGGTTTACAATACCAGACCTTCTAAAAGGATGAAGACACAGTAAAACTGTCGCTTTTTCAACTTAGCCAAACTATAATGAATAAGTGGGGAAAAAAAAAAAGTTGAAATCTAGGTAAGTAAGTAGTGTTTTTTTTTGTTTTGATGTTAGTTCTAGAAAGTCATGTAGGTCTTCAGAGAACCACTCAACTTCAGCTCTTCAGCATTATTGTTTGGGGCATAGATTTGGATCACTATGATGCTGAATGGCCTGCCCTGGAAATGAACCAAGACCATTCTGTCATTTTTGAGTTTGCACCCAAGTACTGCATTTCAGACTCTTTCACTGACTATGAGGGCTATTCCATTTCTTCTAAGGGATTCTTGCCCACAGTAGTATATATAATGGTCATCTGAATTAATTCACTCATTCCTGTCCATTTTAGCTCACTGATTCTAAGATAGCAATGTTCACTCTTGCCATCTCCTGCTTAACCACACATCCAATTTGCCTTGATTCATGAACTTAATATTCCAGGTCCCTATGCAATATTGTTCTTAACAGCATCAGACTTTACTTTCACCATCAGACATATCCACAACTGAGTGTTGTTTTTGCTTTAGCCCAGCTGCATCATTCTGTCTGGAGTTGTTAGTAAATGCCATTCACTCTTCCCCAGTAGTATATTGGACACCTTCTGACCTGGGGGGGCTCATTTTCCAGTGTCATATCTTTTTGACTTTTCATACTGCTCATGGGGTTCTCGTGGCAAGAATACTGGAGTGTCCTCTTCATCATAGGGGATTGTAATACAAAAGGAGAAAGTCAAGAGATACCTGGAGTTACAGGCAAATTTGGCCTTGGAGTACAAAATGAAACAGGGAGAAGGCTAACAGAGTTATGTCAAGAAAACACACTGGACATAGCAAACACCCTCTTTCCAACAACACAAGAGATGGCTCAACACATGGACATCACCAGATGGTCAATATTGAAATCAGAATAATTATATTCTTTGCAGCGAAAGATGGAGAAGCTCTATACAGTCAGTAAAAACAAGACCTGGAGCTGAATGTGGCTCAGATCATTAACTTCTTATTGTAAAATTCAGTCTTATATTGAATAAAGTAGGGGAAAATACTAGGCCATTCAGGTATGATCTGAATCAAATCCCTTATGATTATACAGTGGAGGTGATAAACAGATTCAAGGGATTAGATCCGGTAGAGTGCCTGAAGAACTATGGACAGAGGTTTGTAACACTGTACAGGAGGCAGTGACCAAAACCATCCCAAAGAGGAATGCAAGAAGGCAAAGTGGTTGTATGAGGAGGCTTTACAAATAGCTGAGGAAAGAAGAGAAGGAAAAAGCAAGGGAGAAAGGGAAAGATATATCCAACTGAATGCAGAGTTCCAAAGAATAGCAAGGAGAGATAAGAAACCTTCTTAAATGAACAGTGCAAAAAAAGAGAGGAAAATAATAGAGTGGAAAGACTAGAGATCTCCTCAATAAAATTGGAGATATCAAGGGAATATTTCATGCAAGGATGTGCATGATAATGGACAGAANTTGGACAGTAAGGAGATGAAACCAGTCAATCCTAAAGGAAATCAGTCCTGAATATTCATTAGAAGGACTGATGCTGATACTAAAGCTCCAATATTTTGGCCATCTGATGCGAAGGGCCGATTCATTGGAAAAGACCCTGATGTTCGGAAAGACTGAAGGCAGGAGGAAAAGGTGCAACAGAGGATGAGATTGTTAGGTAGCATCACTGCCTCAGTGGACATGAATTTGAGCAAATTCTGGGAGATAGTGGAGGACATGGGAGCCTGGCATACTGCAGCCCATGGAGCTGCAAAGAGTTGGACACAACTTGGCAACTGAACAACGAAGTAGATTTCTAGACCTTTTGGATACAAAGTAAGAGACCTATGAATCTATACGGAATTATTAATATTTTCTACCTAATGATTCCTAAGAGTAGCCTATATATACTCACAGAGAATGTGATGTGGCCCAAAGTCTCACAAGTTTTTGCAAAAAGAAGTTATCCCAACAACTAACTTGAATTCTCCTTGTTACACTTGCAGTCTATTTTTGTTTCAGTGCCTGGACCCAAAAGACCATACTCTGGAAAGTATTTCTCAAGTCCTCTCTGATTGTTACTCTTAAGATATCTTCCCCATCATTATCTTAAAAAAATTTTTTATGTGGGTAATTTTTAAAGTCTTTGTTGAATTTATTATAATATTCTTCTCTTTTATGTTTTGGAATTTTGGCTGTGAGGCATGTGGGATCTTAGCTCCCTGGCCAGGGATTGAACCCACACACTGCACTTTGGAAGGTGGAGTTTTTACCAATGGTCCACCAGGGAAGATCCCCCCTCATCACTTTTGACTGTTCTCCTCTGGCAGACCCCCAGGTCTCCACATTCATGTCTAAGCTCTGTTTCCCAGAGGGCCAACACACTTCCTTAACAGAAGCTACAAGCACCGCATGGCATGCTACCTCGGCCATTATACTCAGGCCCTTCACTTTATTTTTTAAAAAATAAAAGAAGCAGAAGCATACTCACTAATACAGGCTAAGGTGATCCAGCTGGCTATGCATGTGGATGGGGTAGGTCTCTGCCAGGTGAATCAGCTTTTCTATTGCTTCATAGATGAAAATAATGCAAATCAGGGAGGCAAACGCTTCTTCAGTGAAGCGAGTAATGTAGCAGACAAGGGAACTGGCATCAGTTGCCACAAGGACAATACATAGGAAGGCAGTCCACAGTCCAATACAAGCTCGCAGGGAGAGGTATGAAAGAGCATAGTCTCTGAAACAAGACCAAAGTTCATTAAAAGTCAGTAAACGGCTTTACATTCTTACCCACTGCATTACAGGCAAGGGTCAGAAATGTGGTTAATTCATCTGCTATTGTCAGTTCCAGTACTGCAAGCTACTTTGTCCCTAATTCTGACTGCACTTTACTTCTGAAGACTGTCCTGGGACAGTTGTCACAAAGATTTGCTTTACAGGTAATATTTCCCACAGCAAGGACAGGGACAGTGGAGAAGGCGCAAACTGTCCACTATCCACTTCTGCCATTCCTGCCCAACATGGTTAAGATCCTCTTCCTGCAGCTAAGGAGAAAGAACTGGTCCTTGTTCTATGTGTTCCTACTTCTAATACACAATGAAAGAAAGATTTTATAGGAAAAGTAGGAAAATGAGGGCATTGCTGACTCCCCCTCAACAATCAGAATATAAAGGGGGAGTATTATTTGAGTATTATTAATTGAGTATTATTAATTGAGTATTATTAACTCAAATTGGGACTTCCCTGGTGGCTCAGATGGTAAAGCATCTGCCTACAATGTGGGTGACCCGGGTTCGATCCCTGGGTCGGGAAGATCCCCTGGAGAAGGAAATGGCAACCCACTCCAGTACTCTTGCCTGGAAAATCCCATGAAAAATCCCAGGAGTGTGGTAGGCTACAGTTCATGGGGTCGCAAAGAGTGGGACATGACTGAGCGACTCCACTTCACTTCACTTAACTCCAATTAAAAGTTGACTGGAACAGACTTAGAGATATCAAAAACAAATTTATGGCTACCTAAGGGGAATCATGAAGAGGGAGAGATAAATCAGGAGTTTGGGATGAACATACACAGATTACTATATATATATAAAACAGATAACCAACGAGGACCTACTATATAGCACAGGGAACTCTACTCAATATTCCATGATAACCTATAAAAGAAAAGAAACTGAAAAAGAATGAATATAGGTATATGTATAACTGAATCACCTTGCTTACAACTGAAACTAACACAATATTGCAATTCAACTACACTCCAATTTAAAATTTTTAAAAATCCATACAATTAAAAAATTAAATTTTTTAAAAAGAAAAATTGACTGGAGATGGAAATTGAGTTTTCATTAGAAAACTTTCATCAGGAGTTTGGATTAGCTATGGAAAATGTTTTTAAAGATAAGAAGTCAAAAAAGCCAAAAGTTGAGGGACATTAATAAAGCTCTTAGGGCCAGGAGAGCTGCTATTTTAGGTATGGTCCTACCTGGGGGCAGGGTGACAGACCAGGGGATGCTTTTGCCTGCTTATACTCTACTAGGACCCTAACATTCAAACCTAATAGCAAACTAACACATCCAGATAGAGTTTTCAGAAAACCAAATATCTTACTTGCAGAATTTGAACAAAATCTTTTCAAACACGAGCACCGGCCCAGTACTTCCCAGGATGGTGAGAGCCTGGCCGGCAAACAAGGAATAGGCAATCCCAGTCATGGAGGCTCCAAACAAGGATTCAATCGCACTCTAAAGAGGGAAAAAAATCATCACTGAGTCCACAGCCCATCTGAAATGAGTGACACAGGCTTATATACATTCCTAACTTAGCTCTCCAATGCACCTGACAAGCCACTTTGTATTTTGTCTCAGCAAGAGTGATGTGTACATAGTCTAATCTTCTTGTAAATGGATATTGCTTCAATAATTTAGGTCCCCAAATCTATCTACATATGATTCCTTAACAAATCTACAATGCACGACTCAATTCATTATTTATAAATATACATAGAAAGCACAATGGTACCATTCACATTATGGGTTGTCACACAGTCAGCTTAAATCTTATTTTCAGATGACATCAATATATAATTTTCTATCTTTGGAGCAATGGGCAATACACCAGGAGAATCGGCTATCTAAATTGATATGCAGGCAGCAGAGGGTCTGTCTAAAGGGAGAGTGGTGTTGCTCGTTGGCATGAAGACAGAAGACTGTGTAATTCAGCAGGAAGAAACCAGTCTCTTCAGTCCACCCCCAGGAAATTCTCCTCCCAGTAGACTTGGCTACCTTCATAATATTTTTACTCTCATTTGGGACCATTAGAAGTGGCAAAAGTTCTTACTATGCGCCCTTCGGTGGCTTCTCCAAGCAGTCCCCCAAAGGTGATGACAGGTGAAAATTCTCCTCCCAGTAGACTTGGCTACCTTCATAATATTTTTACTCTCATTTGGGACCATTAGAAGTGGCAAAAGTTCTTACTATGCGCCCCTCGGTGGCTTCTCCAAGCAGTCCCCCAAAGGTGATGACAGGTGACATGCAGGCGCAGTACAGGAACAGAAAGGAGGCCAAACACTGTAAGCTGAGGGCATCCCGGTAGTCACTCCAGTACCAGGGGGCCTTCCGCTTGATGTCCAGCAGCAAGCCCCCAAAGAGCCTGCAGAAACACGGCAGACAGGCGTCTAACGCAGTTCCTCTCCCACTAAAGCAAGTCAACAGAGCACATCCGAAAGCACTTCAAATGCGCTCTGTATGGAGGTTAATATTTGGCTTCAATGTGACCCCAAGCACAAGAGATCTCTATGGGGCCAGCATGGATTCTGGCCATGTTCCAACATGGATTCTAATTGCAATCAAATGTATGAATTTGAGTGATTATCCCAAGCATAAAAATAATTAATTTGCTATGCATAACACCCATTCAATAAAAAGTTCCCAAAATTTAACATGAAATAAGTATTAGCTTCAAACTTCAACTTCTGAGCTGTTAGGAAGCAATGAACAAAACTATCAGGGTATTAAAACTGTTAGTTTTATTATATGTTTTCTAGATAAAAAGCCCCTATCACATGTATATTCTTACTCTGAACTACCCACCTTACTCGAGAAATCAGCATAATCATTCATGCAGTTGCCAAGTAGTAACAGATACTTCATGCCAAGCACTGTGCCAGGTGTTGGAGATGCAACAGTAGCAAGGCAAACACAGCTCTCTCTCTCTAGGACGAAAAGTCTGGCACAGGGGGCAGTGTTGTGAGGGTGCCATGGCCACAAGAACAGGGAGGGCGTTTCAGCTGGGACTCCAGAATGGGCCAGGAGTACCAGGTGAGGCAGAGGGGCTGGCGTGATGACGCCTAGAGGTGACAGCGCTTGGCACGTTCAAGGTGCTGAAAGAGTTACGACTAGATAAGGCAATGTGAGGGGTAAATATCAATAGACAAGGCTAGAGATGTTGGAAAAGCTAAGCCACAAAGGGCTTTATAAAAAGGAATCAGAAATTCATCCCAACAGTGTGTGAGGCAGTGAAGGACTTCAAACAGGGAAGCAGCATAAGTAAGCAGGCATTCTGAAAGGATCACTCCGGTGAGAGTGTCATGAATGGAACATGGGGCAAGGCTGGAGGCCGTGGGTTGGAAAGAGAATTGGGTGCCAATTAGGAGGCAGAATCAACAGGACTTGGTGGCAGGACTTTGAGATCCCTCTCCACTTCCCAAGGACGAGAAAGATCAAGAGTGAGATGTCCTACACCAAGAAGGAGGAGTATGTCCAGACAGGGGCAATTTTCAAAGAGGGGAGTCATTGAAGAGTCATTCAGCATTCCACAGGGCAAATTACCTACTTTGTTCTACACATGAACGGCATGGAAAAAAAAAAGAGGAGGTGGCCTGTTAAAGAAGTTATAGAACGGGAACATAATAATGAAATGCAAACCTCCACTGGGTCCTGTGTCAAACAAACTCTAAAAGGATGTTGCCAAGACAATCATAGAGAGGTGAATATGGACTAAGCATGAGACAATGTAAAGAATTATTGTTAATTTTATTAGATTTCATAATGGAATGATAGCTGTTTTTTAAAATGTCCTTATCGAACAGAGATACCTACTCAAGTAGTTACAGGTGAAATGACAAGTTACAGGTGATTTGGCTTAAAATAATCTAGAAAATATAAAAATAAAGCAATTAAGTAGTGAAGAAATATGAAACAAGGTTGGCAAAATCTTGGTAACTATTGATGGGCACGTGGGGGTTCATTACAGTGTCCTCTCTTCTTGTTTATGTTTGAAATGTTCTATACTAAAAACTAAAAAACACAGATCTACTCTCTCATGAGAGGAGGCTTAGCTAGCTCTTTCTTTCTCTGTGCTCAGGAGCCTAGAGGTGTCCTATGAGGCCTGGGATCTGTATGCCAGGGGAGAAGGCCTAGCCAGCTCTCTTTCTCCATTCAAAAGCTCGCTCTCTCGTGGGATGAATTGAGAGAGTAGCTTTGACATATACATACTACCATGTGTAAAACAGACAGCTAGTGGGAAGCTACTATATAGCACAAGAAGCTTAGCTTGGTGCTCTGTGATGACCTAGAAGGGTAAATGGTGGGGGGTGGGGGCGGTGGGAGGGAGGCTCAAGAGGGAGGGAATACATGTATACATAGAGCTGATTCATAGTTGCTGTACAATAGAAATTAACACAACAGTGTAAGGCAATTATACTCCAATTTAAAGCAAAATAAAAGCTCCCTCTCTCATCTAGCTAGGTCAAATGGGTATGCAGATGGACACAGGGCACACACTCTTTTATCTGACCGATTTGCTCTTCTGGTTTGCAGGGCACAGTTGGGATTTACTCTTCCTCAACCTACAGCAGTAACATCACAGTCTGGACCTGGGTTTAGAGGAGAGAGGCAAAGTTAGCCTTGTGACCTGCTTTGGTTCTAGCCTGTCTGGCAGACCCAGCTGAGGTAAGGAGCTATCTATAGGGTCGAAGGAGCATGGGAGTTCCACCTCAGGGTTTGGGACCCAGGTTACAGTCTGTAATAAAATGTCACTGGGTCTTGCTTTCCCCCTCTGAGGAGACAGCCCCTCAAGGACCTTATGGGCAGCAGCAATTAGTCCAGGGAAGCATTCAAGATTTTCCAGATCCTTAGCCAACACAGCATTACCTCCCAAACACCAATGACCTTCCTCTGAAGGCTATTACTCTGGGAGAATAACCTTCTGCAGCAGTGAGCCTCACCCTACAAAGTTGCCATGATTGGTCCTCCTGGATGTGCGAGGCTCATTATTCAGGAGGAGAGTCTATGAGTAACAGGCAAAAGATTTATGTGAAATGGATTTACAAGAAGCCATAGAAAGGAAGGACATCTATCTGCCTAGCAGTGATTAAAAGGGGAGAGAAAAGATCTGAGGCTCCTATTGATGGTATAACATAAGTTAACAAAATGATTTCAAATCCTATTTTGAAATCGGCCTCATTCCCCACTCATACAGACCCTAATCGAGTATCTGGCACAGACAATAACCAGACATGGATGCTTTCCTCCACACATTTGAGACTTCCTTTCCCTTTCAATACTATCCTTGATGTTCAAGTTTGGGGTGGCAGGAGGCACACAGGACCACAAATTTAAGCTTGAAGCCAGAAAGGACTTACCTGTGGGGAGGGCCACTAGACTCTAGAGCACTAACTTAGGAAGCCCTCTGAGGAGGGCTTTAGGGACAGGCCAGCCAGCCAATTGTCTGCTGTACCTGGGAAGAAATCTGTTTCAAGGGGCTGGGATCATCGAGACAGTGACTCCCAATACTTATCTTCATCAACCCTTCCCCAAAGTGGCTTCTCCAACGAGGTATACCAAGCTACTTGGGGAAACCCCTCAGCAGAGCATGCTCCGTGCTGTGAAGCTTCTGGCCTAGCAACTCTAGTCAGACTTTGCTCTTCACTCTGCATGGGAATGCCTCGGTGTCACGATCTACCATCAACATCAGGGAGGCCCAAGACACTGTCTCGGCCCTGGCTTGGGAGGTCAGATCACACACAACTCAGACTGTTCTCAACTTTGCCTCCTCTCCCACCTTCTTAGAGCCTATACTACCACATCTTAAGTACCTCTCCATCCACTAGGATGGTGTCCCCAGGTTGTGCACCACCTCAAAGAAACACAGCTAAAGGTACAAAGAATACAGAGTTCAGGTTAATATAGTTTCAGTCTGTGAAGTCCAGGAAGGGCCAGAAAACGCTAAGATGTTCATCTGTAGAGGAAGGTTTATATTCACCCCTACATACTTTGAGACTGGGAAAGGAGCCTGAGTTGGCATGAACTGTGATCCCCGATACGAGCTGAAAAAGCTACAAGAAGAGGAAAGCCATGTGTCTTGAGGTCTTTTCCTAAGGGCTCTCAGAGAAACTTCCGGAGCTCAGGAAGAGGCACACCAAATAGAGTGAGGATAGGAGTCTAGATGACCCTTCCTTTCAGCTGTCAATTCCAGCAGTTCCTCACTCGGCATTACGGAAGAATGTCCTCAAGCCCCATTTGAACTCGTGAGGAAAGGTACTGGGGGCTGGTGATTAAGTGTGTGATGGTCCTGGCTATATGGGTTTTTCTTTGAGGACGTCAGGTACCATTTCCCAGATCCTGTATTTGGTCTAGATATAGATCCAATCTAATGGGCTCCCAAACCCCCACATGGAATTGATTGTAAGTGACCCACCTCTAAAAAAGCATGAGACCCTAGTTTATTCTCTTTTTGACACCAAAAAAAAAGCTGAGCTCTCATCTCTGCAAAGATCATGTGTTTGAAGGAAAGTTGCTGGCCTCATTTCTACTACTTTCAACTCTCAGTCCTGAGTTGTGAACATCCTTTGTATTCAAAAGGATAAATCATAGCTTTGAAATTCTATCAAATCCATACCCAAGACTCTTCCCCTTAAAAAACACCACCTCCTTTAAGATAGTCTCAATCCTGGAAACTATTCTAAAGACAAATGTATCCTTTGAAATGCTTCTCAATACCAGGACTCCTCTGCCACAACTCAGACCTCCTCCAACTTTAAAGAAAATATGATCTTTACTCCTGGAACTTGATCCCTCTTTCAGTGATCCCTTCCATCAAAGGGCTCGTCCTTTCCTCCAGTAATCCCTCCCAGAGCCCAGTTATCCTTCCACCCTCGAATATATTCCTCTAGCCAGGATGAATTATCCCAATCAACACTGCTAGTTAAATGCTATTCTGTCAGCTTCTCAGTCTCCTCTCCTGCCTGTCCCTGAATATCCAAGAGTGGAAAAATTAACACTCTCTGCAATCCAAAAAAAACAAACAAATGTTGGGTTTCTATTGGATAGAGTATTAAAGATAAAGAAATAAGGAAAGCAACTTCAAGGAAGGAAGAAAAAAATAGTGAAAGCACTAGAGTAGACTCATCTGAGTCCTGTGCTGAGAATCTCTGCCCAGCAGACCCTCTTAGACACAAGCACAACCTACAATGCCAGAACCATAGTCCCAACCTTCCACTCCAACCCCAAATCTCATTCTCTTTTACTACCTTCCTACCTGGAATATAAAGCATCCCCGCCTGGGGACCCTCTTTCCTCATCTACCACAGAGAAGCTCCTCATTGGACATCTGTCCTTAAAATTTGGGCCCAGAAGAGTAAGTTGCCTATTCTCAGACACACCTAAAATAGTACTTATTTCCCTACCCCAAGGGGTTTCTTAACTTAAAATAACCATTTAAAATTTATCCATGTCTTAACTTAAAATAGCCATTTAATATTTATCCATGCCATGTCCACTAATGCTAAAGAACAGTCATTATTCTAATAGTATTCATTCATCAGATAATAATTGTGTAGCCACTCTAGGCAGGGCACTGAACTGGGTGTTAGGAATACAGTGGGGTCCCTGCCCTTAGGGAGCAAACATTCTGGCAGGAAAGACATCAAATCAAGAAATAATAATAAAATCTGATCAGGGCTGTAACAGGGGACTAGGCTGAGGGTAGTAGCTGGGCAGGGGACAGGGCTCCAAGCTGTGACACCACACGGCAGGAATAACCTAGCCTCCTCTAAAGAGTGTCTTGGAAGACTCTCCAAAGGGACACCTAAGCTGAATCAAAGGAAAAGTAGCAGTTAGCCTAGAAATGAAGATGGGGAGGAATGTTCAAATCAGGGAGAACAATGTGTGGGAAGGATAGAAGGTTAGACACAACATGGTAGGTGGTTTGAGAAACTTGCATGAATGATACAGTATCTGAGAGAATTGTAATACTTATTGTCAGTGGTCCCATTTGAAAAGTCATTCCCAGCCAATAAAGATACTATAGAGAAGAAGGCTGAAAGCAAAGATAACTCATTTCTTTATACAGCTTCTGTCCAGTAAGCAGTATTAGCTGTGAAATATTCCAGAACTTACCGCCCAGTGCGCTGAAGCTCTGGCCCGCTGTGGCCCCCATGTGGCTCCTGTTCTATGTGGCAAATGTTTCCATTTGGAACTCCAGGCATTTTCCTTTTCTCCTTTTAACAGAGGACCACACAATTAGCAAAGTCAACCACCTATTCTGTCTTTCCTGCTATGGCGGGGGTAGGTGGGGTGGGAGAGTGGGAGATGGCAGGGGTCAGGGTAGCATATGAGAATCCAAAAGCAGCCCCCCAAATACCCAAGTGTTTCTTATAGCTTTCAGATGCATTTACTGATTTGGGACAGTTTATTGACTTTCCTGAAAAATACAAAAGACAACAAATAATTTCTCTTCCTCTCCACTGGTACCTGACTCCTCTGTCTTGTCCAGAAATAGAAACGTGAAGGCTTTGGCATCAGATATGACCTAAGTTCAAGTTGCAAATCTGTCTGTGTAATCATTACCTTAAAACTTTGAAGATAGTATTTTTATTCCTCATTTGTTAAATAAAGAATAACAACATCTACTTGGAGATGTTACTGAGAGATTTAATTAGCATATGTAAAGCACCTGGCCCAGGGACCAGTGTATAGTAGAAGTTTTCTTCCATCTTTAACCTCTCAAAAAAAAGTATGGGGAACTCTATTTGCACTCTCTATGCTGCAAGCTCTTTTCATTTAGTGGCTTCATTCTTAATAGACTCCCAAGAAATGCCCCCTCCTCTCCTCTCTGCCATTTCACATCAATCCTTCAAAAGTTAGGTTAAAATTCATCCCAGGGTAATCCTGGCTAATCAATGTTACTGCATATTCATATTTTATTACTCTTCTGAAATTCTAGGCACCCTGCAACAGAACCACATCTCAGTTTATTTAGCATACACCAACATGGTCTTTGCTGTGTCCATGGTGGACCCTCATGGTGGACTTAGTAAGTGACACTAAGCCACCACTGGTTCATGTGCATACATTACCTGGGAAGGGACATTTTTGGGGGGCTCAATTCGAATGGAGGGGTCCCACTCCCCTGGAGGAAGCACCGTCACCTGGTCTAGGAACTCATCAATCCCTGCCAGGAGGTCATCTCGCTCTTTTGCCTTATAAGCCACATCATGAAAAATCTAAGAAAAGAAAAAATCCTCAGGAAAGCTGAAAGTCACTTGATTTAAACAATAACCAATGGATATGGTAAAAGATTGATAAAACCTCTTGGTTTTTATCTTTGTCATAGGGCTCTGAAATGTAGATAAGTTTAGTACTTTAAGAAGTACAGGGATAAAAGAGTTTTAAAAATGAATCTAAAGATGAGGCAAAAAAAAACTAAATATATGTCTATTAGTATAGAAAGAGATAAGACATGACTCTAAAGTTTTGTAATTCTGTTATCTCCTCAAAGAATGGAACAAAAGCCAAAATGCATGAGAAATGTTCCTGATCATGATGGATGATCTGGATGGAATTACTAATAAAGGTCCTCTGTGAAATATGCCTTCCAACCAAAGACAGCTGATAAAACACATCCCCATCTCCCTTTGCCTCTAAGACATATGCCTTTACAAGGCCCTACTTTGCAACTTACCTGAGCAGCACAGTCCTCACCAGGGATGCAGCAGGGGCAGCTGAAATGTCTAGTAACCCTAGTACCTTCACATAACAATGCCCAAGAGTATCTCCCTGATGAACTGGTCTCATTTACATGAAATGGGAGTGAGGTTTCTTTATGTAAATAGCTTGGATACACTTCATTAACTATCTTCTCTAGAAAGTTAAGTCAGCCTTAATATCTTTCCTACTTGGTATCGTACTTGGCAATAGTTTTCCCAGAAAAAAGATTTCTCTGCATCCTTGATTATTCCAAAAGGGAGAGATGACAGAGGAAGAAAAATCCAAGAGGGCTTGGTCCTCAAAAACATGACCTGCATTGCTTTCCAGCAATAATTATTTTACCCCCAACAACTAGCACAATGCCTGGCACAGAGTAAACACTCAATAAACATCTATGCAATGAACACATGAAAAGCAGAAGTGGTGTGCATACCTCATCTGTCATGATGGTGGCCATGGATCTGCCAATCTCATGATACTGCTGACCTTTCCCCACTGGACCCAATAGGATAAACAAAAACCTGGCAACACACAAAAAAGATGAAATTATGTACGTAAATATAAGGAAGTTGCATCTTTCTTCTCTAAACAACAGAACATTTCTCTTTTCTATCAAACAGAATTTATCACAGTAACGTCAAAAAAAAGGAGACAAACTAATGATGGAGCAATCTGAGTAGCCTTGACCTAATAGCTCTACTATAGTCATTGGAAGCTATCTGTACGACTCCATTCAATAATGTGGTTATAATTCTCAAGGTTTCCATGGACACAATTCCTTGCTCTAGAAAGGATGCTTTTTCAAAACATGGCATTGTAGTGCAAATTCAAGGTTATCTGAATCTCATTCATTGCTCTAGTAAGAAAATGATGGGGAGAGGAGAAGGATAAGGCAATTGAAATGATCAAGCCCTACAGAGGAGTCTAAATTGTGTCCCGGACATCTGAATACTCCATAATTAATGAGGCTCTGAATCACCTGAATCACCACCTTCAGAGCACATGAATAGGCTTTGGAACAAATGTGGGCATATTTGCAAACCACACAAATCCTGCCCGAACTATGGAAAGAGATGTCGATACCTTGCTCAAAGATGTCTCCCTGGGATAAAGTTCTGCAGAACGGGGAGATTAAGACAGGCTCCCTATACCAAGTAAGTGGTCCTTGCTACGTCTTCAGAATGCTCTTTGGGTCTCAATTTCCCAGGTCATAGAAACTGCACAGTCACAGTCTTAAAAGTCTTACAATTCTTCTGCACAGAAGTTAGTCAAATATACTCCAGTTTTCTGAGATCACTGCTGAATTTTAAACAGCAATGTCCAAATTAATTAATCCTACATTTTGGCATCAGCTGGTTTATTCCACTAGAGCTCATATAAACCTGTACATTAGATGGAAGGCACTGTGCTTTGTGGTCCTTTTCTTTACCTTGTTGGGATGGGTACTTCTGTCAGGCCTGAGAGAAGGACAGCCGGAGACAGCCTCACAAAGGCGACGATGGGGCGGTCCAGAGAGTCCACCTCTCCAACCAGGACATTCGAGGCCTCCGCCCCAGTGGGAATTTTCTTCATAAAATGCAGGTCCACCTGAAAATTTAAAAGCACCCCAACAGTGTGAGAGCCATCACCTACACATCCATCACCCTCCTCACAACTTACATTCATGCATCATTTTATGATTTAACACATTTTTCTCATACTGCTTCACTTAATCCTTACAATACCTCTGTAAGGTAGATAAGACTGGCCAATCAGCCTCATTCTTTATTTAAAAAAGTGAAGCCACCGAGACCCAGAGAGATGAAGTTGACTTGCCCATAACAACAGAGCTTCGAAGAGAGAAAATTTAAATCTAGGGTTCTGATTTGAATTCCGTTACGCCATGCATCCTCAAAGAAAATATTTTTGAAACTCCAAGTCAAATTGTTTCCATTTTTAAATACCTGAATGCTTTGTCTGAGGTTTCAGGGAGCCTCAGGAGCTGAGAAGTGACATAATACTATCTCTGCATTTGGAAAGACAGTTTCAGGGAGAGACCAGAGCAAGCAAAGGCTGGCAGCTGGGAGATCAAGGATTGAGCCAAGAGCTGCAGGGGAACCCGAATCCTGTGGGAGCGGCCTTAAACACCAAAGTCACAGTCCCCAAGAAGAGTTTAACCACAAAGTAGTTGTGAGATAGTAGCAAAAATATTGTTTTCATAAAACCCTTGGAGAAAACCTTGGAGGTAAGAAGGTGCTCCTAGAGAGCAGGTACTAGAAAATAATTCTGAAACAGCAGGGGGTGTGCGTCAGGGTGGTTTATCAGTGCCTAGTGGGTTTCAGCGGGTTGAATCTGGGGGGAAAACTGATGAGTCAGCCCTCTCTGGGATGGAGAAGGAAGAAGACATGAGCAGATGGGCCTCCTTTTCTGCAGAAGGGACTCTGGTCCTGGAGAAAGGATATTGAAATGCCAAAGCTTACCCAGCTTCCAGCAACAGGACTCTGGGCTCCACAAGAGATATGCTTAGGCCTGTGAGCCAACTTCCACATCTCTGCTCACCTTGCTTAAATCCACTGGACTGTGTTCACAATTCACTCCATTCTTTACTTCAAGACTTGTGGTTGGAATGGACTGAGGAGACACAGTTTGACCTATTTGGAGAAAATCAAACAGAGTTCTCTGAGTCTTGCCTTTTCCCTCTTTGACACACCCCATCCACTGTTGGGTGGTCATGGCTCTCTTCCGCAAAGCCCACAGAGAGAAGAGGTTCAGGTGACTAGGAAGCGAGGACCCACACATACCTGTCTCCTCACCTACTAGCTAGCAGTAAAAGGGGCACAGAGATCTTACTGCCCCGAGCCCTCTTCCTGAACCACTTGTGATGCTCTTTTCTTCCTTTGTTAAAGGCAGTAATCCTCAACCAGGAGTGCACACCATAAATTCCTACGGAGAACTTTTCAAATACATGGATCCCCAGGCATATCCGCTATACATTGTGTTTTGGTAAATGTGGGGACACGGAGACCAGTATGGATTAGGCCCCAGCCTGCCCACAGAAACGGAAAGCAGTCAGCAGCTGAAATTCATCAGATGTTTACAACCCACCACACACCTGGCTCAGGGCTTTACACGGATTAACTTATTGAAGCCTCACAACAGACTGATGGAGTAGATCTTATCATTATCCTTACTCTACAAAGTGGGCTTACAGAGGTTTAGGAGGTTGTCCAAGATCTTTGCAAGAGGTGAAGCCAGAATCTCAAGCCTGGAAATCTGACTTAAGAGTCTACACTACTGCATTTTTGCCTCCCTAATCTAAGACATTTGTTTACTTCTAAAAAGCTTCAGTTGACCTTCTCTGGAGCCAAATTATCCCCAGTGTGTATATCTCCCTGTCTCGCTGATCCTGCTGACTACACCAACTATCTTGCTGTATCTCACTGTGTACACTCTTCCTTGAGCCCAGGGTAGGCAAGGTGCGAGCAGGGAAGCTGGAAGAAAACTCAAGGAGTCGTAGGAACTGCAAACACATTTATTCTCTCTTGAATGGCACAGCCCCCATAGCAATGGACATGCTATATTCTCTCCTCTCATGGTTGGCCCAGCAGACATAGCCTTAACACAGCCTCACCACCATAATGCAGCCATAACATAGCACCCCGCAGCACAGCCAACCCTCTCTCTCTCTCTCTGGCAGGCCAAGTGAAGCTTATATATACTTACAGGACAAAAGTAGGCTGCAGGCAAGCAAATATCTCGGAACATGCATCTGCAGTGCTATAAGTGATCTCAGCTGATACATAATCATTATTATAAAACATGGGGCAAAGTGAGAGGGCAAGGGTTGAGAGAGCCTGACCAGGCCATCTTGGCTAATTTGATCTTTCCCTACACTCCCCAAGTCACATCAGTTCTGAGGCCATTCTGGGGCACAAATCTTACCCCTGAGGTCCACTGAAATGTATCTGAGGCATGCATCCTCAGTGCAAGAGACGACGATCGCCAGTCCCAGCCACCCATCTTGCCAATCCTCAAAAAGGACTGTCTAAGTGAGCATGAAAGCATATTAGAGAAATGCTGTTCCTACCCTCCAGTAACTCAGCATCTCCAACTAGTGCCTAAATGTCTTATTAATCTAAAGAGAAAGCAGTTACTCCTAGTAATCTTACCATGTTTATCCATTGAATGTGGATCAGACTGCTTCTTGCCAACCTCAGCAAAGGAGCGAACAATAGGGATGAGGTTATTTCTCTTCTTTTCATTCTGATGATGATGCTTTTTGAGAAGGGCTTCCCGGACTTTAACCCTCATGCTGTCATTCAGGTCACTGAACAGCTCCTGCTGGTCCAGGATCAGGTCTGGAAGGCAGGTGCTAACATGAACTCTCAAACTGATGGTCAATGATTCCAAAGAAGGAACAGTCAGGTGAGGTGAGCGATACGGAGTGGGGGAAAGCAGTTCTACCAGGGTCACTGAGGTTACAGTCTCTGTATCAGCGCCTGAAAGAGCTAACTGCTGATAGCAGCTGTGACACATTACACGTTATTCATGTAACAAATCATTATTTTTATAAATGGAAACTACTGAGCACTTAACATGTGCCAGGAACTACACTCTGAACTTTTTACATAATGATCTAATCTGATCCTTATAAAACCTCTGAAAAGTAGGTGGCATTATAACAATTTTTACAGATCAGGAAACTGAGGCCCCAAAATTACAAAATCCCCATGATCTCACATCTAGTGAGTTGCAGAGATGGGATTCAAATCCCAGACTGTCTGACTCAAATGTCCACATTATTGCCATTCTGTTCTATCATTTGCCAAAATTCCTCCAGGTTCTCTTCCTCTGAGATTTTAGCATTGCTGTGATTGTCAAGAGAAACTATAACTGTAGAAGGCCACATGACTGTTTGAAGGTAGAATCCATAAAAATAATTAATTTGTTCTTGATTAAGCCCTTCAGACAATTAATACCAAGCATCAATCTTGACCTGCCAAGTCCAGCAGAACTGAGGGGGAAAAAATCCCAACACCTGCTACTGAAAGGCAGCTGGCACAGAAGTTAACAGCATGTGTTCTAGAGCTAAACGTCCACATCTCTCCCATCCACTTCTACCACTTTCTGTGTGATAACCTCTCTGTACCTCAGTTTCTTCATCTGTAACATGAAGCTAATATGATCCTTAGAAGATTGTTGTGAAAAATTAATGAGATATATAAAATGCTGATTCACTACAAGTGAGACCATTTACCTACCCTTATCACTAACATGAATACCTCAGGTCCCTGATGTGAAGAACCATAGCTGTTTTACTTAAACCCTACATATCCACCCCCTGCCACCGCCTCTCCCAAACTCCAGCCTATTCTCAACTCCAGCTCCATCCATGACTATCCGAGTGTTAGAAGCAGTAAATAAAAGAAAATCTATTTCAAATACTCAAGCCAAAGATCCAAATTTCTCTCTCTTTAACTTTTAGATTGATTGGTTCCTTGTCCCACAATATAAACATGCTTCAGGATACTTCATCTTGGGAAAGAAAAAACTGAAGAAGAACATCCATCCCAGGTGTCCCTTTATCTGTTGCCTTCCCTTTCTCACACATGCACGCGCTCTCTCTTTCTTCTCAAAAGAAAAATTTCTCACCTGCTGTAATGTGGCTGCCTTAATGAAACTGCTTTTGATAAAATCATCAACAACCTTCCAGTTGCTAAATCTGGTGGATGCTTCTAGCTCTTACTTCATCGGACCTCTCTGCAGCATCTGACACTGATGAACCCAACTCCTCTCTTCTTTTGTTGTGGGTTGAATGGCTCCCCTTCAAAAGATGCGGTGTGCTATATACTAACTCCCCAGAACCCAGGAGCATGATCTCATTTGTAAAGAGAGTCTGCACATATGTAACTAAGGTGCTAACACAAGATCCCATTGGTGCTGACCTCTCCCCAGGTCCCCATGTGATCCCAGACAGGCAGAATTACTTGGATACTTCTAATGAAGAAAATTTAGAAGAAACTTAAAAATCTGTCCAACCAAACAGAGCCAAGCCGAGGAAAAGCCTTACACACACCCAGGTGTTTCTCAAATGCCATTCCCCAAACACAATAACTTACACTCACCTGTACTAGGAAACTCCATCAGACATCTCCCCTTCACATCATGCTGAAGAAGTGGGGGGTCCTTTGGCACAATTTCATACATGTTTTTCCTAGTTGCCATATTGAAAAATCTTTCTTTCACTTGAACCCACTTTTCTCTGCAGAGCTCCCAGTCACACTTATTACCAAACCAGAGCTTGGCTGTTGCACTTATTTTAATTGCCCTATGGCTATTTTCCTCACTGGGGCTTCCCTGATGACTCAGATGGTAAAGAATCTGCCTGTGATGCAGGAGACGTGGGTCCAATCCCTGGGTTGGGAAGATCCCCTGGAGAAGGAAATGGCAACCCACTCCAGTATTCTTGCCTGGAGAATTCCATGTACAGAGGAGCCTGGTGGGCTACAGTCCATGGGGTTGCAAAGAGTTGGACACAACCAAGCGTCTAACACACACACACACATTTTCCCCACTAGGAGGTGAGCTCCTTGAGGACAGAAACTGTATCATATCCTGTGCCTAGTACATAATCAAGCACAGATAGAAAACAAATGTTTGCTAAACAAATAGGCAAATGGAAAGCCACACGCCATGTCATTTGCATCCCAGAATAAGCTTGTGCAATAGGCAGGGAAGTTTCTTAGTTTGAAACCCATCCCAGAGCTGAAGGTGCTGAGGTCAGGAAGGTAAGTGACTTGCCCAAGCACAAACAGCCACTTTCTTCTTTCTTTCCTCCACACCACACCACAAATGATCCTCTGCTTTCGCTCCCCTAACCTTACCTGAGATTTCTTCTATGCTATTTGCACGCATATCCAGAAGGACCGTTCCATTAATAAGACAGCTTCTTAACTCAAAGAGACTGTGAAGTGAAAGGGTTGCCACATAAGGCTTGCTCCATCGTTCTCCCCCATCCTCAACATCTTCTTCAAACTTCAGCCACCTGAAAGCATGACAAAGAGATGCCAGAGACAGAAAATGAAGAATTTTCAGGAGAGGGTTTCTAATGTAGGTCACAAAGAAAGGTACATGAATAATCACACTGAACCCTGTAATCTAGTCTATATGTTCAGCATGCATTGGCACGTGAAATAAGTAGGTTACAAACCACTGCATAATTGAGTATACCTTGATTCCATTTTTATTAAAGGAAAATCTTAAAATACAACACACACATATATAAGACACCAAATGTTACATTACTCATTATCTCTGGGGTATTAATTTTTATTTTTGCTTATCCTTATTTTCTCATTTTATATAGTAAGCATGCATTACTTGTGCAACTAAAAAAACAGGCTAATCTATATCATTTGGATATATTGACAAATCACATTAATAAAATGATCATATTTTTCTTTTCTAAAAGGTCTTTGTGACCTTCAGAAGTTTGAAACGACAGGATGTTAAGGCTAATTGCCTTCTTGCTTGGTATCAGGTTAATTGGTTTGTTTAATCCTCTGCTTCCCTGGTGGCTCAGAGGTTAAAGCGTCTGCCCACAATGCGGGAGACCTGGGTTTGATCCCTGGGTCGGGAAGATCCCCTGGAGAAGGAAATGGCAACCCACTCCAGTATTCTTGCCTGGAGAATCCCATGGACGGAGGAGCCTGGTGGGCTACAGTCCACGGGGTCGCGAAGAGTCGGACACAACTGAGCGACTTCACTTCACTCATTGAACACATCTACGGATACAGCAGGTATCCAGGAAGAGCTATTTCAATGAGACCTTGAGCCATGCTTTGCTGATTATCCACCTCATCCTCTTCCTGGAGGCTCAGGCATGCTGGCTTTGTATCACCCAGAAGGCTCACTTGTCAGTTACTAGAGGAACCCTAGACATGGGCTTGGTTCACCTGAGAGTTATTCTTGGGTTTGAGCCTTAGACAAGCGTACTCACTCTCCAATCAAGGGAAGCCTACCGTCAGGCTGGCTATTATCCCAGAGGTCTCTAGGAAGTGGGATTGTCCCATACGATGTCTCAAAAATTCCAGAATCTCCAGTGAGGAGGAGCCTGGTGGGCTACAGTCCACGGGGTCGCGAAGAGTCGGACACAACTGAGCGACTTCACTTCACTCATTGAACACATCTACGGATACAGCAGGTATCCAGGAAGAGCTATTTCAATGAGACCTTGAGCCATGCTTTGCTGATTATCCACCTCATCCTCTTCCTGGAGGCTCAGGCATGCTGGCTTTGTATCACCCAGAAGGCTCACTTGTCAGTTACTAGAGGAACCCTAGACATGGGCTTGGTTCACCTGAGAGTTATTCTTGGGTTTGAGCCTTAGACAAGCGTACTCACTCTCCAATCAAGGGAAGCCTACCGTCAGGCTGGCTATTATCCCAGAGGTCTCTATGAAGTTGGATTGTCCCATAGGATGTCTCAAAAATTCCAGAATCTCCAGTGAATTAAACCTCAAATGATTGGGATTTCCCTGGTGGTCCAGAGGCTAAGACTTCACGCTTCTAATGCAGGCAGCCTGTGTTTGATCCCTGATTGGGGAACTAGTTCCTACGTGCTGCAAATAAGAGCTCCCATGGTGCAACTAAGACCTGGCACAGCCAATTAACTTAAAGAATTAAAAAAAAAATGATGCTATGGCTCACCCACAGGAAAAGGCTATGTCTGCTGGACTAGGTTTAGGCCAAAGTGGCCCCCTCAGGCATCTTCTAAGTCAGACATACAATATTAAGAGCCCAGGAACAAGGGAGATAGGACCCCCCGTTCCACATTTCTGTCACCAATCCCCAGCTCAAGGTCAACTGGAATAGGTGTTACCACAGACATGACAAAGAGGCCAACATCAAGATTTCCCACGCAAGACCCTAGAACATCAGTGCCCATGTCAGTCATCACGTCTACCATGAAGAAATAAAAGGCAGGCAGACCTGTCACTCACGGAAAGGTACACATTTGCCTGCCCCAGCAAACCTTAACCCAGGCTCTTCAGGACCTCACCTGGCTGTCTCCTTCCACTCGGCATCTTCTCCCTCTTTCAGACAGATCTCATCCAGCTCCGTGAAGAGGTCATGAGGCACATGTTCTTCATCCTCCTCAGTGCCAAGAATGAACTGAACACGCTGAGATGGTGTGTCTGGAAAGGCAGCCACAGAGAAAGGTCTGCTCCCAACCTCCACTTGGGACAGAAATAGCATCCTGCCACACTCAGTGCACCTGGGGGGCTTCCAGCTTGTGAAACATATAAAGACAATCCTGAATTCAGATCAAAAAGATTCCTTTATTCCCAGAATTTCAAAAACAAACAAACAAACAAAAAAAACTATTCTTTGGAGTTTCCCTGACAGCTCAGTTGGTAAAGAATCCACCTGGAATGCAGGAGACCCTGGTTCAATTCCTGGGTCAGGAAGATCCCCTGGAGAANTTCGTCTCCGGTGCTTCTGACCATGCGTTCGGTGGTGGCGATGGCTCTGCCGGCCCAGTGGCATCCGGACCCCCACATACAGAGTCCTATGGCCTGAAAAGAAGCAGAAGGTCTGAAGAGAGAACTCCTTTAAGAAAAAGAGGCTGGTGTGTTTAAAAGGGGAGAAGAAAAAGAAAAAGTTACAACTCTGTAATGACAAAACTTCAAAGACCTCCAGGACTGAATCTGTAGAGATGGGCAAGCTGAAGGTCTCCATCCTGTTCGTGGCTGCAAACCTCACAGGAGGGTTGTGAAGATCAAAGGAAATTATGTGTGTGAAAATTATTTGCAAACTATAGGGATAAAAACAAAAGCTAGTAGTTGCCACTACAAGACAATTTGAGAAAAAACGTGATATGGTCACACCAGGACACCTATAGCAAGTCTTGGCACGGAGGTCATTTGGGAAAATGGTTAAGTGCTCAAGTCAACCTGCCTGGGTCCAAAACTTGATTTCACCGTTCACTTGCCATGTAACCCTGAACAAGTTATCTAATCTCTCTGTGACTGTCTTTAACAAGGAATACTGAAGCTTATTCTTTAAACTCAGAAGATTTTTGTAAGCAGTAAATAAGATAATGTATGTAAAATGCTTAACACAATGCCTGGAATCAATTTTAGCAGCCAGTATGTTCTAGGATCAGTTTCCATTTTATTTTTTTCTGTGCTGTAGAATACACCATCTAGAATAGCAGTGAGAGGCTAGTTATAAATCATAAGGGGTATAAGCCTGGGAGCATAAAGGAGAGATATTACATATTTTACAAAAAGAGAAGAATACAAGAAAATAAGTGATCCCATAGCATTCCTCTCTAGTTCCTCCTTTCTACTCTCCCATCTCATCCATAAACTTTATTTTGTTTTGTTCCTGACTTCCAGGCCTCTCTCACCTCCATCCGATTTCCCTGGCCTTCCTGGGGCAGAATCAGCAACTGTAAGGATGCTATGCCTGACGCACGGAGCCGTGACCTTGCCCCACTTCGGCCCAGTTACTGCTGCTTGACTCTTGATCTCAGGCCGCCTCTGCACATCTTCCCCACAGGAGCTTTTGTCACTGTCTTCACATCCGCAAGCTTACCCATACTTCCTCCCTCTGAGCAGGTGACCTCACTTCATGCGGTGCTGAAAAGACAGGTTCTGTCCTGTGAACTCCCACCTTCTCAGCCTGGCTCACTTTCCTTCCCCAGCCCCCCCTCTTTGCAGGTTAATGAGTATCACCTCCCATCCTGCTGGGTTGTTATCCTCAGTCCCTCCTTTCCATCCATCCCTTCTCTGGGCTTCTCAAGTCTCTCTTAACCTAACAAGAAATGTTCCTGCCACCATATGATCCAACAATTCTACTCCTGGGTATATATATTTAAAAAAACCCACAAAACACTCATTTGAAAAGAAACATGTGCCCCAATGTTCACAGCAGCAATATTTACAATTACCAAGGTATGGAAGCAACCCAAGTGTCCATCATATGAGGAATGGATAAAAAGGACGTGGTGTATATACATACAATGGAATACTACTCAGCCATAAACAAGAATGGCATTTTGCCATTTGCAGCAACATGGATGAACTTGGAGAGCGTTATGCGAAGTGAAATGAGTTAGAGAAAGACAAATACTGTACAATACTTCTATGTGGAATCTAAAAAATACAACAAACTAGTGAATAAAACAAAAAAGAAGCAGGCTCACAGATATAAAGAACAAACAAGTAGTTACCAGTGGGGGTGGTGGGAGGGAAGCAATATAGGAGTAGGGGGAAAGGGGTTGTTATGGGATTATATGAAAGCATGTGTGTGAAAGTTTTGAAAACTGTAAAGCACTATAGAATTTAAAGATTCTTTCATTCAATAAAAATAAAGTTTTAAAATAAAAATAAAAAAAGAAATGTTCCCATTAAAGTGCTACTCTTCCAAGTTCCTCCATCAGGTCACGTTCAAGAATAGTCTATTGATCTAGCTCCCTTTCCTTACCATCTCCTTGCTCCATAGCCTCTGCATGTGGCTGCTCTCCACTGATTGCCTTCATTAGGGACACTAAAGTCCACTAAACCATGTCTATCATATTATGTCTCTCTCAACTCAATTCAAAAGACTTCCTGGAGAGCCCACCAGGCTCCAGACATCATCCCAATCTCTAATGACTTCCTCCCCATGGTGGTCTGGGCTCCCCAACACCTGTACCACTGCCTTCCCTGGCTCACTTGCACTCCTCTGACTGCCTCTCCAGCCCTTCCACAATCCACTGAAGGAAGGTTCTCCAGGTTTCTGTCCCTTTCTTCTCTCTTTTTAGTGATATTTACTCTCGTGATTTCAAAGTTTCCTTCCACAAATGACCCACAAATGTTTATCTCTGGTAAGTCAACATGTTCCAAAGCAAACTCACTGTCCTCCATCTCAAATCAGGCTCATACTCATTTCTTATATTTTTCTGTCCATGGCATCACCATTCTCTCAACTTTCCAGGCTGGAAACCTCAGTGTTACCTTGTATTTCCACCTTGCCCCTCAGCACTCCATCCCACAGATTATGATCATCCACAGATTAGATCAAGTCTTTTCTCCTCCCATTTTGACAACAGCAGGGGCCTCCTTCCTGTCTCCCCTACCAATTCAATCCTACAAACAAGCCCTCCTGAAGCACTGCTCTGATCCTGGCTCACTCCCACAATCAGGACCCTTATACTCCAGCACGCAGGGGCCCCAGCCTCCTTTCTAGTCTTTTCTTCCTCTAGAACAAATTATACATTCAGTAGGGAAAGAAAGGGAAAGCTCTCTAAAAGAACTGAGTGATCAGCTCAAGAAAAATCAAAATGGAAATCCCACATATGCCCACAATGAATAAATGTTCTTGGGGAAAAATCTAGAGATATATACCTTCTGCATCTACCCCAACAATAGAACAGCCTGGTTTTGACTCTGTCTCCTTCTCATGGCCTCAGCTGATGCTCCTACCCTCACCTCACACTGGTTTCCATCTATACCAAACTGCTATTCCAAAAATGTGCCAATGCCTTCCAGACGCTGACTTGGCTCACTCCTTCAAGACTCATTGCAAATACACCTTCCTCCTTGGTATTTTTGCTGATCCCCTCGATCAGATGTGCCTGCCTGCTTCCTGTAAATCCCCAAAGTCCTTGGCTAGCATTCCCTTATGTACTTATCTCATGTCTTGCATTAAAGTTAGGTATCTATCAGTTTTTCTCCCACTATTCATCTGCAAGCTCCTCAAAGTCCCAGGGTAGGGCTTCTCTGGTGGCTCAGTGGTAAAAAAAAATCTGCCTACCAATGCAGGGGACATGGGTTCAATCCCTGGGTCAGGAAGATATTGCATGCCTCAGAGCAACTAGATCATGTGCCACAACTATTGAGCCTATGCTCTATAGCCCAGGAACTGCGACTACTGAAGCCTGTGCCTATGCTCCACAACAAGAGAAGCCACTGCAATGAGAAGCTTGCACACAGCAGCTAGAGAGCAGCCCCCAGTCGCCACTACCAGAGAAAAGCCCACACAGCACAGCCAAAAATCAATCAATCAACCAATAAAAAAGTCCCACGTTATGGGTGTCCCAGGCTTCCCCAGTGGTACTGTGATAAAGAACACGCCTGCCAATACAAGAGACATATGAGACATGGATTCAGTCCCTGGGTCAGGAAGATCCCCCGGAGGAGGGCATGGCAACCCATCCCAAGGACAGAGGAGGCTGGCGGGCTATAGTTCATAAGGTCACAAAGAGTTGGACACAACTAGCGACTTAGCATGCAGAAAGAACAGAGAGAAAGAAAGGACCTGAGAAAATATATGAAGAGATAATAGTTGAAAACGTCCCTGAATGGGAAAGAAAAAGTCAGCCAAGACCAGGAAGCGCAGAGAAGAGTCCCAGGCAGGATAAATCCAAGGAGGAATATATCGAGACGCATAGTAATAAAACTGACAAAAATTAAAAACAAAGATAAAATAATAAAAGCAACAAGGGAAAAATGACAAATAACATACAAGGGAACTCTCAAAAGGCTATTAGCTGATTTCTCAACAGAAACTCTACAAGCCAGAAGGGAATGGCATGATGTATTAAAGTGATGAAAGAGAAGAACCTACAACCAAGAATACTCTACCCAGCAAGACTCTCACTCAGATATGATGGAGAAATCAAAAGCTTTCCAGACAAGCAAAAGTTAAGAGAATTCAGCACCACCAAACCAGCTTTACAACATATGCTAAAGGAACTTCTCTAGGCAGGAAACACAGAGAAAGAAAAGGCCTACAGAAAATAAACCCAAAACAATTAAGAAATTGGTAATAGGAGCACACATTAATAATTACCTTAAATGTAAATGGATTAAATGCACCAACCAAAAGACATAAACTGGCTGGGTGGATGAAAACGTGTCCATGCATGCACTTCCACTTACCATATCACGCTGCTTAACCCCTCAAATTGTATGTAATTATCTTATATTGTTAGGTTAATCATGTTTCCAATATGACTTGCAATTATAATTATCTTTTATCTGACTATTGTGAAAACTGATAAACATTTTTTACTATTGTGATTATGTAACTATTATTCACTTAATACTGTTTAATCATGACTGGTCAACAGAAAATAATAGAATTCTATATCAATAATGCTACCATTTTAAAGAAAAACCTGTAATCACTTTTTAAAATCCTGATGCATATCAGAATTATCTTGGAATTTTTTGAAGAATACAAATGCCCAGGTATTGCTTTTTTCTCCAAAGTTCCAGATGCGTTTCTAATGAGCAGCCATGTTTAAAAACAACTGGACTCCAATGTTCATCACAGCACTGTTTACAATAGCTAGGACATAAAAGCAATCTAGATGTCCATTGGCAGACAAATAGATAAGAAAGCT